GGGGCCCCACCGGCTGGCCCTGCTCGTGCCCTTCCGCGAGCGCTTCGAGGAGCTGCTGGCCTTCGTGCCCTACATGCACCGCTTCCTCAGCAAGAAGAGGATCCGGCACCACATCCTGGTGCTCAACCAGGTGGATCATTTCAGGTAGGGCTCCAAGGGCGCCGGGAATGGGCAGCCCCTTCTGCGGGGAGCCGACGGGGTCTCCCGTTCGCCTCGTGTGGCGCCCGGGAGCTTTTGGTGGGGTCCGTGACGAGTTGGGGTTGGAGCACAACGGGTCAGGCTCATCTCACCTGGGTTTGGCCAGGTTCACTTGCCCGCTTTTGGCAACTAAAGCAGTGAGAAGTTTTCCAGGGGATAAGCTCATAGGGGAACCAGGTGGTTTTTTGTTTCTCTCTTTGCAGCCCATCCTAAGCAAATAGGTTGTTTATCCACAGGTAGTGGTGTCAGGAAATAAAGCTGCCAGCAGCTTCAGCTGGTCCTGCCTTGGCTGCTCGGTGGCTGCCACCAGCTGTGCCCACGTTGTGGTGCTCCCCAGCCTGCCTGAGGACAGGGTGTTTTGCTGGGACTCTTTTCAATGTGTTGTCCCAACAGGCCAAATCCAAAGCTGCACGCGTAGCCCCATGCACGTGTCGGAGTGGGCAGTTGTGCAGCCACTGAACTCCTCATTTGTGCTTGGTGGTGGCAGGCCCTCCTTGTCCCCTGTCCCTGCAAGGGGATAGCAGCTTGGGTGCTGAGAGTCCTGGGTGCCTTCCCAGATTTAACAGAGCGTCTCTGATCAACGTGGGCTTCCTGGAGAGCGGCAACGACACTGACTACATTGCCATGCATGACGTCGATCTCTTGCCCCTCAACGAGCAGCTGGACTACGGCTTCCCAGAGGAAGGGCCCTTCCACGTCGCCTCCCCAGAACTGCACCCGCTGTACCACTATAAAACCTACGTGGGCGGCATCCTGCTGCTCACCAAGCAGCACTACGAGCTGGTGAGCCCATGGGTGCGACGCCCCAGCCTGTTCGGGGCAGGCTGCGTGACACCATCGCAGTGCACGGTCACACGTAGCGCTCCACGCGTGGGAAGTGGGGAAAGGGGAAGAAATGCTGTGGGGATGGGGCTGCCATCGAGCTGGGGGGTGGGAGAGGCGAGGCTGCGCTCGCGGGGCTGGTGCCCCCCTCTGCATGGCGGCCGGGTTGCGCCGCGGCCGCAGCCGGAGAGCGGCGCCTCGAGTCGTACAGAGCCTTTCGGGGGGGGGGAAGGGGAGCGGGCCGGGTTCTCCCGCCGCATCAAAGGAGCCGGTCTCCAGGTAAGGAGAGCTCGGCGGCTCCGAGGCTGGGATCGCCCTTCCCGTCGTCTCTCCAGCTGACCTGCCGCAGCGATTGAGGCTGGTACCCGGGACAGCGGCCCCTCTGTGCATCCCCCTCTCTAGCAGCAGACACAGGAGGCCAGGGCTAGTTTTGTAGTAGCTTTACAGAAGCTTTGCTCTCCTTCCAGGTTCGCCGTCCCACTGGAATCAAGACTGGATATGAGACTTTCGAGCACCTGCATGACCCTGCCTGGAGGAAGAGAGACCAGAAGCGCATTGCTGCGCAGAAGCAGGTGAGACCTCCGCGTGGCTGGGGGAGGCCACGAGAGCTACAGTTTCAGATTACTGTGTGCTCTGAGCCCCCCTTGCTGATGTCCTCCCCTGCCAGCTCTTGAGCTCCCTTCCCGGGCACTTTGCCCTTCACTAGAAGCCAGCGAGGGCTGAATGCTCTTTCTCTTCCTCAGGAGCAGTTTAAGGTGGATCGGGAAGGAGGTCTGAACAACGTGAGGTACCGAATTGAGTCACGGACAGCTCTGAGTGTGGCAGGAGCCCCCTGCACTGTCCTCAATATATTGCTGGACTGTGACACGAGCGAGACTCCTTGGTGCACGTTTGGCTGAGCCGCCTGCCCCACGTGCCAGTCACTGTGCTTGTGCTGAGGCGCCAGGGCTGCTGCCGAGCCGCTTGACGCGGGCAGGATCGTTGCACTAGGCAAGCATAGAGGTGCTGGCAAGACACAGAGGAACAGAAAGGGCTGAGAACCAATCCTTGATGGGACCAAGAGAAGAGGCTGAGAGTCGGACTCCGTGGCGTTGCTGCAAACAGTGGTGCTGCCTCGTGGGGCAGGTGCAGGAGGCTGTTTTCCTGCACTGCATGAGTGGCTGAAATGCCACCCAGCTCCGAGGACAATAAAAAACTGTCAGGGCATCTGCGAGTTGTGAATGCCCTGCAACACAGTGCACCAGTTGTCCCTTCGGTTCCCTTCCTCTCCCTGGTTTCAGTGCCAGTTTCTGCCTTGGGCCTGGCTGCCCTCCCTTCGGACAGGCCATCTGCCCTGGTTGCGAAGCCCAGCTGGTCTGGAACGGGCTCCGAGCCTGGTGTTCCTCAGGGCTGTGCTGTGGTTGCTGTGTTGCAGGAGATGGTCACGGTCAAGCCCGGGCTCTGCATCTGCTGCGGGTATCGGGGCAGCCCTGGCGGTTCCTCCTTGCCGCGTGGGCAGGAGCGCTCAGGCTCAGCTGCTGCCCCGTTGCCACCGCTCGGCCGGGCTGAGATGTGCTGTGGCTGTGCTGGCACCAGGCCTCTCATTTCCTGCCCCCTTCTGTCCTCATCCCTCAGCCTGGCTCTTCCCTGGAGCTCTAGCATGAAGATGTCTCCAAACAGAAGTTGTTGCCGTCTCCAGGCAGAAGTTGTTGCCATCCCAGGAAGCCGAATGGCTTCCTGCCACCCGGAAACAGAGCTGTGCGGAAGGCGTCTCCCAGGATGAGCTCCGGGATGAGGGAGTCAAAAGTGCTGGAGCTGAGCGTGGGGCTGGGTAGGAGTAGATCAGGATGTCTTGATGCACCTGAACTCGGGCTGGGTGAGGAGCAGGGGGTCTCACAAGGAAGGGGTCGAGGTGCTGGGGGGTGCAGGGCAGTGCAGATTGGCCCATCGAGCCCGTGGTCCTGTCCTTGCCCTGGAGTAGGGGGAGGATGTGCTGCCCGGGCCATCCCCAGGGCTGCTCTACGCTGGCTGCCCGCAGGCTGCCTTGCCCACCCTCATCGCTCCTGGGTCTTGGCCCTTGATCTCTTCTTGCCACCTGGGCCGGTGCTGATGCGTGCGTGGGCGCTGCCGCTGCTGGACGAGGGTGTCCCACTCATCTGGATGTGTCCCTGGGACGTGGTCCTTGCCCTGAGGAGACGTCAGCTGGGCTCGGGGCCTGGCTGTCCCCGCTCCTGCTGCGGCTCCAGCACTCCGAGTTTGGGAGCAGTCACTGCCCGTGTGCTGTGGCCGCCCCTTAGCCGGGGCCTGAACCCCAGCCAGGGCAGCCGGAGGCAGATCCAAGCGTTTCTCTGTGGAGTCCAAAATAGATGACACAGTTTCGGCAGCTTTCCCCAAGATGGAGGTGTGCGGAAGCAGAGAGCACACGCGCACCTCGCACTTAGCTCAGCGCCGAAGGCTCCTCTCCCGCTGCCTGGCAGCTATTTCTCAGCTCCGCTCACAGCCCCCTCATCCTCTGGTTGCTTTTGTGGAAGAGGCTCCTTGCTGGAGACCCGGCTTCCTTTTATAGCCCCGAGGCTGCCTGCGAGGTCGCTCGGCTCTGCTCCCCCCACGCACTTCTTTATCAGCAACGGCCCAGCGGGAGGGGGCTGAGGCTCCTTCCCTCCGCATCCCTGCAGGGATAACGCCCTGCCTGATATCCCAGAGCCAGGCAGAGCAGGGCCAGGGGCCTCCTGGCTCCTCCAGGCTCTTGGCAAGCCCTGGGTGGGGGGTCAGCGCTAGAGCCCTGCTCCAGGGACTACAGACACGGGCAATCCCCATTGCCCACGGGAGCCACCAGCCCAGGCAGACATGCAGGAGGCTGCATGGCCCTGCCTGGGGACATGGCAGTGGAAGTTGGGCGGATGGGCACAGATGGATCCAAAGGCGACCAGTGCCCGCTGAAGCCAGCCCCATGTCCCTTGGACCTGCCTGGCCCAAGCAAGATGCTGTTACCGCCTGCAGGAAGGTGCTCGGGAGGCAGCACGGAGCGGGGCAGTCGGTGACACAAACCGTGTGGTGTGGGGCCACGCAGGAGGCCACATGTGCTGGTGCCCATGGGCTGGAAGGAGCCCGGGGCTCTCACAGGCTATGGCGGGGGCAGCGCCCGCGCACCCTGGCACCGCGGCAAGGACAACGGGAGCCTGCGAGCCTGGCAAGCGGGGCCCGGGACAGTGTGTGCGTGTGGGTGAGCGCTGGCAGCACAGACTGAGGACTCTGGTGTGCGAGGGGGGAAGCTGGCAGCAAGGAAGGCCTGGGCGCACGAGCAAGTTGCACGTGGTGCCCCAGAGCTGCAGCTGGGCACAGCATGGGCACCCAGCACGAGTTGCCGGGGGGAAGGAGCCAGGCTGCTGCAGGTGTCCTACTCCCCAAAGTGTACAGGACATGATGCCACCTGGTCCCCCGAGCTGGCATCGCTGCTCCCCATGAGGCTGCTGCAGGGGCTGTGAGTGGCACAACGGGCTCCCTGCCAGGAAGCGCCAGGTTGATTCAGAGGGACGGAGCCTGTCGGGTCTCACTGCTGGGCTCTGGGGTGGGCAGCAGGCCCAGGGCCAGGCCTGCAGGCCCTGGGGAGCTCTCCTTGCACGGACGCCTCCATCCCAGCTCCTGCACATCCCTGGGGACACGGGGTTGT